TTGATGTTTTTTCTCTCTCTCCCCTTCCCTCCCTCTCTTTTACTCTCTCTAAAATCAATGGGTAAAAAATATCCTTTGGGCCGAGACCGGTTTGGCTCAATGGATAGAGCGTCGGCTTGGGGACTGAAGGGACCCGGGTTCGATTCCGGTCAAGGGCATGTACCTTGGTTGCGGGCATATCCCCAGTAGGGGGTGTGCAAGAGGCAGCTGATCGATGACTCTCTCTCATCGATGTTTCTAGCTTTCTATATCTCTCCCTTCCTCTCTGTACAAAATCAATAAAATATATTAAAAAAAATATCCTTTGGTGAGGATTAACAAAAAACAAACAAAATAAAAGATGACGTAAAGAGAGGGCTGGAGACCAGGATGCCAGGACACAGGCTTTATTGAAGAGGAGAGTACCACTGCTTCTGGCTGCTTCCAGAGAGATGAGCGGAAGAGAGTGGAAGTGAGCAAGGGTCGGGATCCATTTACTTTTTTTTTTTTTAATATAATTTTATTGATTTTTCACAGAGAAGAAGAGGGATAGAGAGTTAGAAACATTGATGAGAGAGAATCATCGATTAGCTGCCTCTTGCACACCCCCACTGAGGATGTGCCCTCAACCAAGGTACATGCCCTTGACCGGAATCGAACCTGGGACCTTTCAGTCCACAGGTCAATTCTCTATCCACTGAGCAAAACTGGTTCCAGCTCCATTTACTTTTAAGGGGAGGGTAGGGGCGGGGCTTAGGGCACTCAGCACACGCTGATTGGTGATTAGGGACGTAGGGACTTAGGAATGGGGGGGGCGGTTTAGGGTATTGGCAGATGCTGATTGGTGGTTCAGTGCTCAGGAATGTCTGGCCGCAGGTGGGGTTTATGGCCGTCCATCAACTGGAGGAAGGGAGGATCTATCACAAAACACATTATTTCTGTGTCGGTGGAAGAAGAAGGTTTGAGTTGGGATTCCTCAGGAGAGCCCCCATGGCTCCTAGGGGATTGGCTCACTCTTGTCCAACCTTCCCTCTCCAACCTTCTACCCAATCAGCTAGCAACTGCTATTTTAGGAGCCCCTCACCCCCAATTTCCTTCCTGGCTGTTTCAGGAACCCACTTCCTGATTAGGTCTCACTCTCTCCCCTCAGGGTGGGGCAGACAACTTGCAAGTTGAGGCGCTTTTCCACCAGCCTCGGGGGCCCAGACCCCAACCTTGGGCTTCCCTATCCTTTTCCCAAACCAGGACTGGCCATGTAATTTGCAGATCCCCGTTTGAAATAAAAATACAGGGTTTGGCCAGTGTGGTCAGTGGTTGAGCGTCCATCTATGAACCCGGAAGTTAGTATTCAATTCTGGTCAGGGCCTATGCCCGCATTGCAGGCTTGATCCCAAGTGGGAGGCATGCAGGAAGCAGCCCATAGATGTTTCTCTTTCATCAATGTTTGTTTTGCTCTCCTTTTTCCTTCCTCTGTCTCCAAAATCAATAAAAAATAATAAAATAAAATAAAATAAAAGCAGAACAAGCTCAGATATCAAGGTGTGAAGGAGAGGAAAAATGCACCGGTGTTCTCATCTCCCCACATCATCTGCGTTCCCATTGTGGCATGTTTTTCTGAGGGGGGAGGGGATGTATGACTGCTTTGTTTCCTGGATGCAGCTGAATAGACCTTCTCATTAGTAGCCTCTGCTTCCAGGAATCATCCATGAAGGTCTCCGCCCTCAAGGGTGAAATACTTCACCTGCCATTTCTGTTCTGGCCACCGTGGGAAATCAACCTCCATGTCCAACTAGAGGGGACTGAGTGTGCAAGTGGTGGGTCAGCCCTGGGGGTTTCATGAGAAGCATTGCAAATAGGCCGAGATGGAAGAAGTGACTATCGGCATGATGTTTGTTGAAAGCTATAATGTGGGTTAAGAAAAAAAGGTTTGTTTCCTCCGGTCACATATTGGTGTGGTTGCACACAAATGCTGGGTCTCTCAGGAGTTAACTGGGAATATTGGGAGACTTGTGATGAAATCATCTGCTTCCTGGGGAACACCTTTTAGATGCCTTGAAATCTGAACCATGTAAATATATTTTATATAAAAACATGAATAAAGGTAAAACAATTTAAAAAAATGAGCCAACCACCTTGTATGGGTCTCATACCTCAGGGCTACACTGTGTTCTAACAGGGATTGACCATCATCTTCTTCCCCCCCACCCCCCATGTTATAAGAGAAAGTTTATTCAGCCCAGCTAGTGGGCTCACTTGGTTGGAGTGTCCTCCAGTGCACCAGGAGATGGTGGGTTTAATCCCAGTCAGGGAGTTTATGGGAGGCAAAAAGTCAATGAATCTTTCTCTTTTACATTGGTAGAAGACCTCTCTCTCTCTCTCTCTCTCTCTCTCTCTCTCTCTCTCTCTTTCTTTCTCTCTCTCTCTCTTTCTCTCTCCCCTTCCCTCTCTCTAAAATCAATATTAAACATTTCTAGTTCTAGCTAGTTTGGCTGAGTGGATAGAGCATTGGCCTGCAGACTGAAGGGTCCCAGGTTCAATTCTGGCCAAGGGCACATGCCTGTGTTGCAGGCTCGATCCCCAGTGTGGGGCATGCAGGAGGCAGCAGATCAATGATTCTCTCTCATCATTTAAAAAATATATATATTTTATTGATTTTTTACAGAGAGGAAAAAAGAGGGATAGAGAGTTAGAAAAATCGGTGAGAGAGAGACATTGATCAGTTGCCTCTTGCACACCTCCTCCTGGGGATGTGCCCGCAACCAAGGTACATGCCCTTGACCAGAATCAAACCTGGGACCTTTCAGTCCACAGGCTGACACTCTATCCACTGAGCCACACCGGTCTTGGCCCCCTCATCATTGATGTTTCTCTCTCTCTCTCCCTCTCCTTTTTTCTCTGAAATAATATATATATATGAAAAAAGTAAACACTTCTAGAAAGAAATTTAGTTTTTAAAAAGAGAAAGTTTAGCCCTGGCTCAGTGTTCCCTTTAGTGCAGGTGGAGCTGGGATTTCTGGTGCAGCTGCAGCTGAGGGGAAGAAGGGTTGGATGGAAAGATGGGCCTGGGGAAGAAAGCTGTAGTCAGGCCTCTTTCTTCTTCAGCGGCTGAAGAAGTCATAAGGAAATCAAAAAGAACCTGCCAGGTTGAAATCTTTGGGCCTCAGGTGACCTCAGCTGATGCTGGGAACCCTGAGGCGGGCAGCAGAGGCAGGGAGACTCCGGGGCACTCCTGGATAGCCCCCTAGCACACAGTGGGGAAAGTGGGGCAGAGCTGAAGGCCAGAGAAAACCAGGTGGAAACCAGCCCTGGGCAGTGTCCACGCCTGAGCCTGGTAGGTGACTGGAGAAATGAAGCCCTGGGGGAGGGCTGGCTGGGGAGCCGAGAGACTCAGGCTTATCTCTGTAGGCTAAGCTAAAGATTAGATTCCTTGGGGAGAAGCTGGGGTGGGGTAGGGTGGGGTGAGGACTGCCTGAGGGAGGGGTAGGCATTTTGAGCTGGAAAAGGCATGCGGGCTGGGGGAAAGGCATCTGCAAAGGCTGGAGGCTTGGAAGGATAAGACTGTCCAACTAATTCACAGTCCTGCCTCATGCTGGGCCTTGTTGGCCTCAGCAGCCTTTCTGCCTCTGTCACAGTCACCCCCTCAGAAAGGCCTGCCTTGGTCACCCTACTTGCCTTTAGCCATAGCCCCCATTTTGTTCACAACCCTTATCCTCTCCCAAGCAGCATGAGCAGAGCTAGGAGGCACTAGGGTAAGGTGATAGAGGCACTTGTCCCAGGCACAAAATTTATGCCAAAAAGCTCAGCTACCAAAATTCATAGTATTTTCATGCAATATTTTAAAAGGTGAAACACGTGCAAAAAACCCAGGAGAAACAAAATCATGATTTTTTAAAAATTTGTATTTGTTAAGGTTCACCGGAGGATTTTTTTAAAGAGAGAGTGGAAGAAAGGGGAGGAGATAGACACATTTGGCCCCAGGAGTGGGGCCAAAATTGAACTTGCAACCCAGGTACGTGCCCTCGATCGGGGACTAGAACCGGTGTCTTTTCAGTGCACGGGCCGACGCTCTAATCATTGGTCCAGGGTGAAAATATCATAATTTTATTTTTTTAAAACACAGTTTATTGATTTTTTTACAGAGAGGAGGAGAGAGGGATAGTTAGAAACATCGATCAGCTGCCTCCTGCACACTCCCCACTGGGGATGTGCCCGCAACCGCAATCGGAATATGGTACATGCCCTTGACCGAAATCGAAACTGGGACCTTTCAATCCGCAGCCCTACGATCTCTCCACTGAGCCAATCCGGTTTTGGAAAATATCCTGATTTTAAATAAAGGCAAGCTCCGACCCTGCACTGGCACCTAGCCTCACCCTTCTCACCTTGGTCCTTATCCTGGAATGAGGAAAAGAACGTATGAACTGCCAAAACCGGTTTGGCTCAGTGGATAGAGCGTCGGCCTGCGGACTGAAAGGTCCCAGGTTCGATTCTGGTCAAGGGCAAGTACCTTGGTTGCGGGCACATCCCCAGTGGGGGGTGTGCAGGAGGCAGCTAATCGATGATTCTCTCTCATCAATGTTTCTAACTCTCTATCCCTCTCCCTTCCTCTCTGTAAAAGAAAAAAAAAAAGAACGTATGAACTATGAGGAGACTCGGCTCCTGAAAACTAATGCTGAAACCTGGAACCCGGGCCTAGCCCACCCGTGTCGGTTCCGGCCCCCACAGCCCCGCCCCCCATCGAGACATCCCCGTCAACCACGGCTAGGCCCCGCCCCCTCCGCTTAGCCCCGCCCCCACGTCCGGTGGCGCCGGCGCCCGGTGTCCAAGTCCACGCTCCGGCCCCTGGGGCCTCCGGGCTGGCCTCTGGCCTGCGCGTCACTTCCGGGAAGGCAGCGGGAGCGAGGCTGACTTCCGCCCGCGGGGGAGCGGCGGCGGCGGCGGCGGCGGCGGCGGTGCAGGAGTAGGAGGCCGAGCCGCGGCGCCGAGCGACCGACGGGCGCACAGGCGGGCGGCCAGGAGCCATGGAGTGTGGCCCCGGGACCGGGGTGCGCGGGCCGCGGCGGTGAGTACCTCACGGGGGCAGCATGGCGGCGTGGGGCGGCCGCCGTTTGGGGAGCCGGGCCCGGCCGCGAGGCTGGGGCAGCCTGGTCAGACTCCCCCGAAGCCCCGCACTCCCGGGGTAGCCTCAGTGTTCCCGCAGGGACCCCACGCCAGGGGCGAGGACCGCGGGCCAGCGTTCTCACTTTGGCAGAGCCCTGTTCCCCCTCCGCTCACCTTCCGACGGGGGGTGGACACCCACCCTCCTATGACGCGGCCCCCCGGGTTCTCCCCCCCCCCTCCATTCTGCCCTCCGGCGTGGAGGTGAACGCCCACCCCCCCTGGGCTGCGGCCTCCGCCTTCCGGGAGCGCGCTGCCCGAGCCGCGGACTCTGCCCCTGTCCCGGAACCGGCCCTGCAGCCCAGCACCCGGGGCGGCGGGCCCGTAGCCAAGCCCTGCTTCCTAAGCGTCTCCCAGACGCCTCTGCCCCTTCGCAGGCTTCCCGGCCTCCGCTCCATTTCAGGGAACATCCACGGTCTCTAACCCCGGCCCAGGATTCCTCCGGGGCTCCCTGTTTCCCACAGAATGAAGTCCAGTATCTGCAGCAGAGCTCACGGGCGCAGCCTGACCCGGGCCTTCTCCGGGGCCCCTCTGGTCGTCTCTTCCTCCCAGTGTCTCCTCTAGCCAGGACCTGCGGTTCCTGGAAGGCGCCGCCAACCACTGGGGTTTGCCCATGCTCTTCCCTCTGCCCTGTCCCCTGTCATTTGGTCACTGTCTCCACCGACCAGACTGCACCTTCCAGGCAGCTTTCCTACCCTGACTGGCTGGGTGAGGTGCCGTCACCGCCGTTAGTAGTTAGTATTTAGGTCGTCCTAGAGTATTGCAAGTGCTCTGGTTCCTCCTTGGTCCTCTTAACACCTCCAGCCTGCATGGGACCTGGCAGCATCTGCTTGTGAGTGAAATCCCTGGAGCTTTGGGTCCCAGGGGTGTGTGCCCGGTGATAGAGGCACCTGAACGTGCACTGCCCAGTCTGCAGCCTGGCTCAGTGATACTCATAAATGATGTGCAGGAGGTCCCAGCTGTGTATGTCCTGAGACTGTCCCTGTTCCCTGTCAAGTCTGGCAAACTCTGTAGCTTTCCCATTTCCTCTTTCCCCCTTGTCATTTGCCCATTCGTTCAGCCATTGTTTATTGAGCAAAAACAGATAGTGGTCCTCCCCTCATGGAGTTTTTCTCTGGTTGGAACTGGGAACCGTGAGAGCTTGGTGGACGTGGGGTGGGGGTACCTGACCAGGTCTAGGCCTCTTTGAGGGCAGTGAAGTGAGATCTGAATGGTGGAAAGGACAAGAGCAAGGGCCATCAAATGAGATTGGGGAAGGGGTCTCCAGGAAGGAAGCTGCATGGGCTCTGGCTCTGAGGCATGAGTGGGCAATGTGGCTCGTCTGAGGAGAGTGAGGGGCACCAGATGAGTGAGGCTGGAGCGGTCCCTCCAGCCAACTGCCAACCTGGCAGGCTGTGATGAGGGATTTTATCTCTACTCTGAAAATAGAGAGGTGGTATGATCAGATTTGTGTTGTGAAAAGTTCTTTCAGCTGCTGGGGATGGGGAGAATGGCCTCGAGTGCTGTGATGGTAGCCAGCTGATGTCAGAGGAGGGGACCAGTGACAGTAAAAGAGAGAAAGAGTCAACAGGGAGGAGTCAAGGACCACATCCAGGTTCCTGGTTTGGTCAGTGTGCTTGGCCACCTTGGTCTACTCTATCCTCAGGGTTTTGGGGGACCACCTACCTGCCACTCTGGGTATCAACTAAACTAGATCTTCCTCCAAAACCAGCTTCCATGGCCAGCCGGAATGGCTCAGTGGTTGAGTGTCGGCCCATGTATGAAGAGGTCACTGGTTCAATTTCCATTAAGGACATAGGCGTGGGTTGAAGCTTGATCCGCAGTAGAGGGTGTACAGAAGGCAGCTGATCAATGTTTCTCTCCAATCGATGTTTCTGCCTCTTCCTCTCTTGGAAATAAACAAAAACATGTTTGTTTGTCTTTTTTTTTTTTTTTTTTTTTTTTTTTAATATATCTTATTGATTTTTCACAGAGAGGAAGAGAGAGGGATACAGAGTTAGAAACATTGATGAGAGAGAATCATCGATCAGCTGCCTCTTGCACACCCCTACTGGGGATGTGCCCGCAACCAAGGTACATGCCCTTGCCCGGAATCGAACCCGGGACCTTTCAGTCCACAGGCCGATGCTCTATCCACTGAGCCAAACCAGTCCTGGCTGTTTGTCTTTTTTTTTTTTTTTTTTTAAACCCTAGTTTTCACAGAGCCACCTAAACTTCAGACCTTTTACTCCCTGCTTGCAGTAGTGGACCACCACCTGTTGGGGTCTGGACCTCTTTGAGAATATGTTGGTTGAAATTTGGGGACACATAATTCTTTCTTGGGGCGTACACTGTGGGGTGTTAAGCAGCATCCCTGACTTCCACCCTCTTAATGCCAGGAGCTCCCTTCCCCAGTCCTTACAACCAAAAATGTCTCCAGACATTGGCAAGTGTTTCCATCTGAAACCAGTATGATAGACGCTCTCTTCTGAAAAATACTTGCACATAAGGTGTGCATCCTGCCTGGAAGTTAGGGACTCCTGGAAGCTGTCCATGTCCTCACCTTGGCTTTTGCAGCTCTCCCACTCTCCTCTGTGCCCATAGAGCTCTTAGTCGCAGGTCACAGGTCTGGAGGGAGTAGGTGTGTTCTGGACCTCAGACTTCTCTGACCTACTCTGAATTTGAGTGTCCCTGGCCCAAATGGTTTTCAAATGCTGTGGCCTCAAAACAACGTGTCAAGGTCCTCTGATGCTAAAGCTGAGCAGTGTGTCTCCCTCCCTCGGTCTGTAGGGAAAGCGTAATAAGTGGTCAGGTTTTCTCAAACCTGTTTTTTACCTACTCTCTCCTTTTGCAGCTCTCTGTATGTGATTGTAGTTTTTCTAGCAGTTTAACTGTAGTCTACTTAGTTTCACGATACTCTGTCAAAAGGAAGAACATTTGAGCTTCTACTCTGAGCCATGTCCCCTGCCCACTACTAAACCCCTCATGCCATTTACTATTCCTGTGATGTGAGTGGTGTCTTAGTTGATGGATAAGGAAACTGAGGCCCTGGGAGGATGAGTGACTTGCTCAAGGTCCCAGACCCTGAAGTTGGCAGAGCTGGAGAAGGAGCTTCAGCTCCCCTGACCCCTCACCCCCTCTACAGCCTGGCCCCTGGGCCTGGCCCCAGCACAGGGGAGAGCCATTGTTCAGCTCTTAGCCTGAGATGTATCCTGCTTTTGTTCCCAGAGCCTTTGTTGTGTTTCCTCTGCCTGGGCTCCTCTGTCTCATGTCCTCAGGCGAGCCCAGCCCCTATCAGCGCCCCTATCGGGGAGCTGTTAGGTCCCTGGCTGAAGTCTGTTCTTGCTTCAGCTGCTCTGTGTGTGTGTGGTGGGGGTGGGGCGGCTGTCTGGCCAGCCCTGTGGACAGAAACATGGGGGGGGGGTGGTGGTGATGACAGTTTCCCTGGCCCAGAACTGGAGGAGGAGAGCTGGAGTGGCCAGGGGGGTTTGCTGGGCTTACATGGCAAGATTTGGTGACTGCAAGTTGAGGAAGGGTGGTAGTAGGCGGGACAGGTCAGTTTTGTGGGAGCATGCACCTCCCAAGTGTCCACAGAGGACACTTGGGAGGTGCATGGTCCCCTGAGAGTGGTAAGCTGGGCTTGCAGGTCCGTGGGGCAGAGGGTGGAGCAGTCTTGATCAGGAGAGAGTGGACTGGGTTTTGGGGAAGGCCAAGAGGCTCAGGTCATGAGAGATTGGGTCCCCAACTCTGGAAACTCACATGTTGCTGTTCTTTGCAGGGCTTTCCTGTGCAGGACATGGAGACGTGAGGCTGCAAGGCTCCCGAGGGCTCGGCTTGGACCGAGATGGGGCTGGGCTGCTGCCTCCTAACAGAGCTTTTGTCTGGGGCAGTGGCTGGGGGGTTGCCCTCCCCCTCTCCCACCCTCATCTCGGAGCAACCCTACCCCTCTGCTGCTGAGCGAGGCCTGTCCTGGGGCCCGGTGCCCGCCATGAACGGCCTGTCGGTGACTGAGCTCTGCTGCCTCTTCTGTTGCCCGCCCTGCCCTGGCCGCATTGCCGCCAAACTCGCCTTCCTGCCGCCGGAGCCCACCTACTCGCTGGTGCCTGAGCCTGAGCCCAGGCATGGTGGGGCTGGGGCCACCGCCTTGGGGACCCTGCGGGCCTCCACAGGCACCCTCAGACGTTGGAAGCTCCACCTGATGGAGCGCTCTGATTTCCAGTACAGCCAGCGTGAGCTGGACACTATTGAGGTCTTCCTGACCAAGAGCAGCCGGGGCAACCGCGTTGCCTGCATGTATGTGCGCTGTGTGCCCGGAGCCAGGTGAGCCTTTAGGACCGGGCCAGACAGACCCAGAGCCGGGAAGGATGGAGGGGCGGGACCTGGGCAGAGTCCATGCTCATCCTCATGGTTCCTGGAATGCCAAAATGGGATGAAAGCCCACCAGGGGTTGTGGGTGCCTGCGGGTGCTTCTTGCCAAGGTGTGTCAGGCCAGAGGTGCCAAGGATGTGCCTCACTCTGCTCATGGCCACGGTTCAGCTCCCTTAAGCTCTTACTGCCAGGTGCCCTTCCATTTTCCCATCTTACAGATGAGGACCCTGAGGCTGAGGGAAGTGTCTTCACGTGGCAGTGGCACATCACCACTCCACAAGGAGCAGGATCTCTCAGGCGCTCGGGGCCCAGTGAAGTCTTGGTACTTGAGGCTGCTGGTGGCTCAGGCTCAGTCTGCCTTCCCGTTAACAGGCACCGCAGGACCTGCGAGCAGAGCTCTTTCCTGAGCCTGAGGGGTGGGGCAGAGCAGGTTTTCCAGGTACTTCTGCCTCACACCAGGCAGGTTTTGAGTTCAGGTCTAAGTTCAGAGGGAGAGTTCTTACATTTCCTTTGGGCCAGGCAGGGCTGGCGGGAGTGGGAGCTGGGACCCAGTAGTGCCGGAGGAAGGGGACCTTGAGGATCTGTTGGCGAGGAGTCACCTCATTGCCTGCTCTTGGCAGAACCTCGGCAGGCCCTGTTAGCGGCAGCTTGGCAGGCTTGTCATGGGACACAAGCGCTGAAATGAGTGCCGTGGTCATTTTCTGTGGGAGGAGACCCAGACCATTGTGATCAGGGGTTGGCTTTATTCACTTGTGGGGCAGGGGATGGGCCAACTGTCAGGAAGCGAGGTGACAGCCTTGTCAATGAAGTCTCGAAAGGAATGGACTCAAGTTGAGGCGTCTGGGCCCATCCTGTGCTCACTGTGACAGATCACACAGGCAGGAGGAGCTAGGCTATTTTGTGGCACAGGCCGCCTATTCCCCTCCTCCCCCCCAGCATTCCTGTCCCTTCCTGGTTGAGGTGTGAGTAGACCCCTCTTTCTCTTGCCCTCTGACCCTGTCTTTATCCCACCCCACTAGGTACACAGTCCTTTTCTCACATGGCAATGCAGTGGACCTGGGCCAGATGAGCAGCTTCTATATTGGCCTGGGCACACGCATCAACTGTAATATCTTCTCCTATGACTACTCGGGCTATGGCGTTAGCACGGGCAGGCCCTCAGAGAAGAACCTCTATGCTGACATCGATGCTGCCTGGCAGGCCTTGCGCACCCGGTGAGCTGTGTGCGGGGACTTGGTCAACCTAAGCTGTTCCCTTGGGGTGACCAGAAACTGGGAAGCAGGGAGGGGTGGAAGGTGCCCACTAGGGACTTAGGCCTACCTCCCTGAGGGGAACGTAAGTACTATGAGGTTCCTTGTGGGTGGCCTTGCTGGAGAGAACTGTCAGTGGCCAAGTGGTCCAGATGATGAGGCCTGACCCGTAACCCTTCAGCATGGTAACAGATAGGCTTGGTGTCCAGGCAGGCACGTCAGCAGTCTTTAAAACTCCCTGAGCAGGGGCAGGGATGGGCTGGGGCTGTCTCCAGCGGAGTGGAGGTTCCCTCAGAAAGAAATGTTAAGTGGAGGACCTTGGGCCCAGTGGAAGCATGTGAGGGCTGTGTGAACGAATTGTGGGAGCCCCAAGGCAAAGGGAGCACATGGGGTTCAGGGCTGGGCTGGGCTGCATTGGGATTCTGGGGGGCAGGCCTGAGGTACTTATAGTCGTGGAACTTGGCCTCATCCTGGGTCAGTGGGTAGGGGTGGGGCTCCTCTAGGCTTAGAGGGTTCTGTTGGATAGCTTGGTGCCTAGAACTGATGGCTGGTGGGAGGTCAGTGAGCAATGACATATCCACATACTTGACTCAGGGCCATTTTTTCTCTGGACCTCCACCATCCTGGTCATCTGGATCCTGGGCAGGCCCCTCCCACCCTAATACTCACTCATGAAGCACATTTACTCTGTCTCAGTGCTGCCCTGAGCCCAGCACTGCTCTAGAAGGAAGGTAACCCTGGCCTTTCTGGAGGTGGAGCCCTATCTGCTGCTGGGGGATACCCTATTCCAGCCCTGCCTGGCTGACCTGCCGGACCCTCTCCTTCGAGCCCCAAAGTCAATCTGCCCTGGGGAGATGGGGCACACAGTGATGGACCAGGCAGGCCCTTTGGCAGGCCCTGGGAGCAGGGTCCCCTGACACCAGGGACCTGTCTTTGGTGATGTGATACAGATACATGCCTGCCCTCAATTGCCTCAACCCTTCCATCTGTCCTTGCTTGCACTGGGGGTTGCTGGCAGAATCAAACTCTGCTGTGAGGTGAGGGCTAGGAGCTTTGTCCATTGTCCACCTATCCTGTCACCAGCATTGACTTCCAGAGACTTGGTCCCTAAGCTCCAACAGCCTAGAGACAGGAGGCTTGTGCTCAAGCAGTGCCTGGGGCTGGGGAGGCCTGGGGGAGGAGAGTCACTCCATTTGTCACCTGTTGAGTTTATTCAGGTGGCGATGGCCAGGGGCTGCTGGGTCCCTGCTTGGTGTTGGGTGATCACTCAGCACAGTGGTGGCCATGGCAACCTGGGAGCAGACTGGGGAGGTGTGACCAGGTAGCATCCTTGATGCCTGGGGTTGGGCTGGGGTTAACGTGTAGTTTTAATCCCATGGACAGGTGGGGATAACCCTGTAGATGGGGAGGTAGAATCTGGCTTTGCAGGTGTGTTCCTCAAGTGAGATGCAGACTATCCTGGCCCCTGTCTACCACGAACAGGGATGTCCCTTTGGGTTTGGGATCTGATGTGTTGAAGGAGAGCCTTGGAGGCCACCTGCATGGGGAGGGTGGCAAGTGGGTCCCCATGTGGTTGGGAATAGGCAAATAGGGGCAGTGGAAATGGGTTGGAGCTGGATCAGCTGTGCTGGGGATTCTGGGGGAGGCATGTGGGAGGCATGACAGGGCTGGGGTTGGGGTTTGAAGGTGGGAATTGGTGCTGAGGAGGGTGACCCAGGACTTGGTCACTATATAGGGAAGGTGCCAGAAGGAGTTCGCACACACCACCTCCCCACAGCAGTGGATATTCTACTCACCATTGTACTGAGCACCTAATTGGGCATGGAGAACACCAAGGGCTGACACAATGGGTCATCTGCCTCTATTCCCCACAGCAAAGAGGGTGGGGAAGGCGTGCAGGCAGGAAGACAGCCCCCTCCCCCAAAGAGCTGTCTAATTCAGAATAGCAGGGACAGGGAAACTCCAAGCAGAATCTGGATGTGGCCCTGGTCAAGTGTGTGTATAGGGTTGGGGGTTGACAGGGTGACCTGGAGAAATAGAGGCCCCCGAACTACCCTGCTCCCAGCAGCCTTTGTGGGGCCCTCACCAAGTGCGCTCCTTACGCATGAAGAAGTAGATCCTGTTGGAGAAACTGAGGGTAGATCCAGGTGACCGGGGCTAAGGCCTGGTTGGGGAGGGTTGGGGGCAGCTGTCTTCATACCTGCAGGGGCCCTGCCTTCCTACTAAGTGCACCTCCTTGTTGGGGGCCAGGGGAAGGTCCCTGGGACCAGCCTAGTTGCCTGGAACTGTCCTAGGAGAATGGGGGACAGACTGCCCAAGGAGGGAGAGTATGGGAGGGGAGTGTTGCAATTGCAGCTGACCCTGTGCCACTGCCAGGTACGGCATCAGTCCAGATAGCATCGTCCTGTATGGGCAGAGCATCGGCACAGTGCCCACCGTGGACCTGGCCTCCCGCTACGAGTGCGCTGCGGTGGTGCTGCACTCCCCGCTCACCTCGGGCATGCGTGTTGCCTTCCCAGACACCAGGAAGACCTACTGCTTTGATGCTTTCCCCAAGTGAGCGCTGGGCTGCCCTGGGAACCTGGGCGGGGGTGGGGCCTTGGTGGGGCGGGGCTTGGAGGACTGACGCGCCCCACCCTGCAGCATCGAGAAGGTGTCAAAGATCACATCGCCGGTGCTTATCATCCATGGCACGGAGGACGAGGTGATCGACTTCTCGCACGGGCTGGCGCTCTTTGAGCGCTGCCCCAAGGCCGTGGAGCCGCTGTGGGTGGAGGGCGCTGGGCACAACGACATTGAGCTCTACAGCCAGTACCTGGATCGCCTGCGCCGCTTCATCTCCCAGGAGCTGCCCAGCCAGCGCGCCTAGTGGAGCTGCTGCGCCCGAGCCAAGCCAGGAACAGACCTCAGCAATAAGGCGGCACCCCGGCCCCAGGGGCTGCATGTGTACCCCTCGTGAGCCCCAGTCCCCCCAGGCAGCTGGCCGGCAATGAGGTTGAAACTGCCCCTGCCTAGGGGCTGTGGACGATATGCAAGGGGCAGAGCCACGCTTTCCTTTTCTCTTGGAAGCAAAACAAAGGAAAAAGGTGAAAAATTAAAGATTAAAAATTTTAATGTTTCTTCCCTTTCATGGCTCATGTGTGCTCTCCCCAGGGCTCTGCAAGTTCTCAAAATGTGCTGGGCGTGCCCTCAAACCCCCCAGGAGACTTCACAAATGCTGATGCCACCATCACTCCCACGGAAGAAAGGGTTGGATTTAGTTCCCAACCCAGCACCCCTTGAGCTTGCGGTTGTCTGATGGTGATGTTATCTGGGAGGGTGGTGGGCGCCCTATCTTTTCAAAACCCTTGAGGGGTAGGGTGAGTAGCCGCAGCAGGTCTGTGTTCAGCCTGCTCCGGGGCCCCAGTGAGGCACCCTTCCGCTCCCATAATGGATGAGGACACTGCACAATCGCTCCCTTGGTAGATACGGATACTGCAATCACAAGGCTCCTGTTCTTGTCCTGGGGGCGGGCTGCACAGAGTGCCAAGACAGCTCACCAAGGTTCTGAGGGGCCAGGCTAAGTCACTTCCTTTGCAAAATGAGGCTGAAGCCCAGGGACAGACTGGCAGTTGCAAAATGAGGCTGAAGCCCAGGGACAGACTGGCAGGTCTGAGGGCCTTATGGAGTCTTCCCAAGGAAAGGGGCCACTTGGGGCTGGGTTTTTGCTACACTCCTTGGGGGCTTTGAGCTGTGTTTGTCTAGGGTGCCCTTGAGATCCCGGGTCTCTCAGTAACCCAGCTAGAGGCCAGGCTCACCACCAGGCCCTGATTGCCTCCTGTGCCCTCCAAGGACAAGGCCCTAGAGCTGGGAAAGTCTCAGAAACGAGTGGCGTGTGGTCCAAGCCAGGGTCTGGCGGCGGCTTAGCTTGTGCTATAGAATCTAGGGTGGCGGCCCCCGCCCAGATCTGCTTGTTTCCACCTGGCCCTTGTCCGAAGCTGATGGCGTGGCAGGGCCCTTTAAGAGGGGGCGGTGCTCCAGCTTGGGAGGTGGGGACTACGCTGAGGGGGCGCGGCCGTCGGGAGCTGCGTCCCCTGCAGGGTCGGGGCTGGAGCGGAAGTGGCGTAATGCTCGCCCGGAACCGGAGGCGGATGGTCGAGAAGGCCGCGGCCTCGCCGGTAAGTGGCGGGGGCTCGTACCCCGCCCGGCCGGTCCCTGCCCCTTCCGCCATTCCCGACGGTTCCCCTCGGTCCCCATGCGTCTCAGCGTCTCCACGTGCAGAACAGAACGGGCTCCCGCGGGGTCGAACCGGCGCAGTCCCGTCGCGCCCAGGCGCCTCCGCTGGTTTCAGTGTTGACACTTGGTGGGTCAGGTGGCCCTCCCCGGCAGCCCGCCGGGTTTGGCCTCGTAGTTCTTTGCTCCGCAGGACTTTTGGTTGCTTGTAACGGGGAAGGAGAGACGTGGGTGCTCAGAGCTTAGCCTGGGCCGCCGGGGGCATAAAGAGTGTCACTGTCCGAAGGAAGGTGACTCACGGTGTCACGGGAGACGCCTTTTCTACCAACCTTTCCTCCACCGTCCCTCCAGGCTAGCTCCGGTGTGCTGGCCTCGGGGCAGTCCAGCCTTTGAGTCTATGGAGTATGTGCCCTGGCTTGGGAGTAGGCGGGAAACTGCTGGTGCCTTCGCCCCTCCCAAACCCCTCTAGCTGGGAGTTTGGGGTTATTTTTGATAATACGGGACGTTTAGAAGCCAAACTGAACATGAGATATGTATTCATTAGAGTAGAGAACATACCCAGGACATTTGCACAGACTGGTCTTTGAGTCTGACATACCCTCACTACGCCCTGGTCTTCTGTCAATGCCCCCAGCGTACTTAACCTTTCTTAACAAATCTGACTTCCTCACGGTCTGTTGCTTCAGTTTCTTCCCCAAAGCAACCCAACTCCTGACTCCTCAGTCCTGAACTCCCTCCAACTGACCCTTGGTGCCTCACTTGGCACCCAGTACCGTTGTCTTCTCACCCTTTCCGAATGTAAGTTTACTGAGAGACAGGGCCCCATAATGCAGTAAGTTCAAAGCCACTGCTCACAACTGAACAAAAATGTTTTCAGATACACAGAGTAAAAAATGCAGCGCATATAAGGTCCCAGGGAAACACTCCATGTCATACCTATCCCTGACCTCCAAGGCCTAGTTTCCAGTCCCTTGGGGCAGAGATAAACCCGTTTCTTATGTATCAACAGAGAAACCCTATGCACATACTTCTAATTCTTTTGTACAAAACATCACTCACCATGTGATCCCATTTGGAGAGTGCTTTTTATGAACTCATTCGTTTTAATGGCTATCATATTTTATTAATACTGTGTATTTATCCTATTTCCTGTTGGTTGAAATTTAGGTTATTTCCAGTCTTATAACAAGCAATGCTAGGTTGAATATACTTATAGCCAAGTAGGAATATTTCTGTCGGCTGAATTCCTTGGTGCAGAAGTGCTAGGCCAAATGGCTTTGTGCAGATCTCTAACTGGGAAATAATTTCTTAACCAGTCATACCAAATCGTCCCCCTCCCAACAAAGGAAAGGGCTAGTGTCCCCCATTGCTTGATCTTGAAGAATTGGTAGGCATAAAATAGTTTCATTGTAGCTTTATGTGTTTCCTAGGAAGTACAATGGATCTCAGTGCTTTTGTCAGATCTATTTTTTATGTTGATAATATCTACCATTTTGAAACTGGAAAGATCTATATTTGTTATAAATGTGCTTATATTTAAAAGCTGTTTGTATTTCATAGTCTTTGTCCATTTTTCTATTGGTTGTGTTGGTGTTATTCTTTTCTAGGCACTCTTTCAATATTAAAGCAGTTAGCCCATTGTCTGTTAAAGTGTTTTTCCCATTCTGTTATTTGTCTTTGACTTGGATTGGATCTTTTTGTTTGTCTGCCATATTTATTTATTTTTGCCAGGCACTTAAAGTTATTAGTTATTATTAGTATTTTTCATATGTAGCAACTGCATTTTGTATCACACTCAGAAATATCTTCTATGCCGAAACCGGTTTGGCTCAGTGGATAGAGCGTCGGCTTGGGGACAGAAGGGTCCCGGGTTCGATTCCGGTCAAGGGCATGTACCTTGGTTGCGGGCATATCCCCAGTAGGGGGTGTGCAAGAGGCAGCTGATCGATGACTCTCTCTCATCGATGTTTCTAACTCTCTATCTCTCTCCTTTCCTCTCTGTACAAAATCAATAAAATATATTTAAAAAAAAAAAAAAAAAAAAAAAAAAGAAATATCTTCTATAGTTCAAGATAATATAACATTTGATATTTTCTTCTGGAAATGTAATGGTTTCTTTTTTAAATAATTTAAATTTTGGCCTAATTCTAGAAACTACTCTTTCAAAAGAGTGAGGTAGGAACTCAAACTGCTTTTTTCTAAATCATTTGCACCACCTACCTGTCCTGAAAAAACTGTCTTTCCCCACTGAAGTGCCATCTTTATGGTATGCTGAGCCCTGGCCTGCGTGTGGGTTGTTTTAGGCTGTCATCCCAGTTAGCCTGAGCTTTTTTATTTAAATTTAAAAATTTTTAAAAATATTTTTACAGAGAGGAAGAGAGAGGGATAGAGAGCTAGAAACATCGATGAGAGAGAATCATTGATCAGCTGTCTCTTGCACACCCCTTACTGGGGATGTGCCTGCAACCAAGGTACATGCCATTGACCAGAATCGAACCCAGGATCCTTGATTCTGCAGGCCGACACTCTATCCACTGAGCCAAACCGGTTTTGGCCTGAGCCCCCTATCTTGATCACGGAGGTCTGGAAGCCTGTCTCCTCTCCTCACTTCTGCAGGTTCTTTTTTCTTGACAACCTCAGATGGCTTATCCACTTCCCTCACCCTGATTTTTAATTTTTGCAGAAAGTGGGATTGCTTAGATTTATAGATGTAGTCGAGAGAAATTTGTCATCTTATAATAAATAGTTGATCCCTTGCACACTCCATGATAGAGAGGATTCTGAAAATTAAGTATGAGCATCCTCCCCCCGCCCCCCACAGCACATGATGTTGACCTTGATGAGGCAGTCCGCTCTCAGTCTTTGCTCTCTCCACACCAGGTGCCTGTGAGGGGCTCACCAGGGCCTTTCTCCAGACTCAGGGTTACCATGTAGTGGCAGTGATGGGGGAAGCCTGTGGTACATTCCAGAATGCGCTCCCGTTCCCTTTCATTTGATAGGGCCCATGGGTCTGGCTGTATGGGAGAAGGGCCAGTTTTTCTGTTCTCCATTTTATAAGTTTTCCGGACGTGTGCTCACACCTGGCGGTGGCATTCTGTTGCTCAGCGGGGCCCTGAGCACAAACCCCCTCTCCAGGAAGGCAGTGCATGACTGTGGGGCCCAGATCTGAAATGAGGCTCTAGTGGGAGCCCCAAGCACCCTCGTCTAAAGGCATGGGCATCTCCCTCCCCCTGGGGCAGTGCTTAGGGTTCATGGTTAGGGTGCAGGACCAACGATTTATTGCCATTGGGATTCATCAGACCAGAATGCCCAGCATCAGAGTCCCTTTTCCTTACATTTCACAACTGCTGCCATATGCCAAGTTGATCTTTATGAAAATCCTCAGCTGCTGGGTTCACCATCCCTATTGTTTCCACTTTCTGGGGAGACAGCTCAGGCAAAGCTGCCCCCAGGGCCAAGCCCTGGGAACCTGCCTGGGTGGCTCTCTCCTCGGGTTCCTGTGATGCTTATTGTCTTGGGCCACTTCATGCCTCTGCTGGACAGTGAGCTCTGAGCATCAGACCCCAGTGCCTGGCACTGGCAGGGCACAGACCACAGTCGTGTGTGTCTGTAGTACGTGCAGGTGACACTCAGAGGGGGCTGGGCCTGGCCGAGGCC